ACAATAACAAAGCGTTGTAAATTAAAATGATACGTTTTAATAAAGAAAAACGAAAGTTAGATAAAAATATATATCTATTTAATCTTTAGAGAAATTAGTAGAGTAGTTTAAACAAAAACATCTAAATCTAAATAATTTCTTTTAAAAAATGAAGAATTATATGTGATAATCACAAATCTGTATCACAAAACCATACAGCAGCATTCATTTAAGATGACCAAACATTTATAATAGGTAGTGGAAGTAATCTACCAGCAATTATTTTAACGATGCATATTAATTATGACAATAAAGCCTCTTACGAGGGTATAATTATAATATTGAATTATAGGCGACGTTTATTCTTGTCACGCAATATTAACGACATAGCCTGTTGCCGCTTACGCATTCATTCACGAAGTTAGACATTGGATTAGTAAAAGCCAAATGCGTGAAGCTTCTGTTGCGAGCAAATCCATCTGTACTTTTGATGTCTTCATTCCCTCGAGTCAACGAGGGAAATATTAGAGAGGAGAAAGAGAAAAATGTGATGCAATAAATTTCTTCATATATCATTACTTGTCATCTTTTAAGTAGTTACATAGCGCTTAGATAAGAATTTACGTTAATTGTTGTACGAAACAGTTGGCATGTAAAATTAAGAAGAGACTATAGAATTTGTTTTTTTAAGGTGGGAGAGAAAAATTGATGAAGAACCTTCTTAATGGACGAACAGAACATTTTAGGCAAATCGGCATACAGACAGATGGCTATCAAAGAAGAACGAGTTGAATACAGATGAAGAGAATATTCAGCGAAATCCTCCCAAAATCGAGTTTATACTAGACAGGTGAGTAGATGCACTTTTACCAAAGAGCATTATTCTAGTCGCCGCTTGTGCATCTTACACGGAAGCCCGCTTAAACATTTTATGGGGTGGTCGGTGTAATTTGATGGCCCATAAAAACGCCTAGTCTAGTTTTTCCCAGGGCATCGTCATCCGTCGTCGGCGCAGGCCACGCGCCTCTTTGACGTTTCATGACCACAATTTCCTAAACATCGCTCCATCATGCTCGGATTTACGTCTCTTTAACCTCCGTGAAGCGTAACACGCGCTCAATGTCGCTCGGGACATCAGTAATGTTGCACGCTCATCGAATGTCTCAGATGATGACAGGGCATAATGCAATATTATTTGTAAGATATCTAGAATCACTAAGATATTTAATGTCAAAATTGTGAAACGGTGAAGAAAGATGATGTCTCCACAGATCTTTGCCGAAGAAAAGTCGATTTCAAATTTTTCGAAGAATTTATAAGTTTGTTTGAATGTTAAGTTATCACTTGGAACTCGAAGCTCGTTGCCGCAACTGAATCAGCTACTATTGCCGACGGTGAAACCGTCGGATGGCTTTGCGACGATCAATGAAACCGCACCACCAAGATATCCACTATGATCGAAGTAAGCCTTGAAGCAGCCTTGAAGCAGGAAACGGGAAACGTGGTGGAAATTGAAAATGTGATGGACGACAGGACACAGGGGATAGAGATGGCGATCCGGATATTGAAGTGAAGGTGGAAATTTATGGAAATTACGAAAGTCGCGTTTGCATTCCATATGCGCGGATTAACACATTACCGCGAATATTAAACTACAACTAGAAATACTATGACATAAAACATAAGTAGTTACAAAAATACAGGACATCTTTGTTTATTCAAAGCTAAAGTTATTGAGACTGTGTTTCAGAAATTGTGTTAAAACAGTGATTTAGAAGGTTGTTTTTGGTAAAGCATACAAAATAAAACGTTATTCAACTTTTACACAATGCCAGCTGAACTGTTTTAAGATAATAAAAAGTTGACCTTTTTTTAAGTTTGATTTATATATATAAGGAGTAGTTTACAAACTTCTCTTTATAGTGACAATAATTGCTACTAATTATAATTGACCCTGCTATATTTCCATAAAATTTTATTGTAACTTTATTTTTTTTAGTTTCATATGTGATATGTCAAATGTCTTACAATCAGATCAAAAGACATGCGATAGAATGGCTGATACGCAAGTGTTGGAAGTTGATACGCTACATATAGTAATCTAAGTTGTGTTTATGGCTGAATATATATGCATAGCAATCCGGTGAATCGCGAGAAACTCATTACCCCGTGGCGCGAGAATTAGCATATTTAGAGACTGTTTCCCCCTTTCTTCTCTTAGCCCCACCTACCATCCCTTATTTCATCCCCCTGACTTGCCTTCCACCATTCTAGTCTGTCAGCCACTGCGCATCCCTCACCGCTCCTAAGGATACAGCTAATGCATTATCTCAACAGAAGAAACATTTTGGTATTACTATTTCTTTATGTTGAGATTAACCGTACATGATGCCAGCCGGTATCAATTTAATGCAGGCAAATCGCACTAACATAATTACGTGTTCATACATCCTAAAAATCTTAAAATTATAATAAATTAAAACTACATCTAATATTTTTGATTGAATCAAAATCGCAATGGATAATATCCCAAATGTGCTAGCACTATACTGTTACACACATAAGTAAATGCGAAAGGTATATGAGGTGCGGAGAACCGTAGAGAAAGCTAAGTAATTAAGGAAGCTCATCCTGAAAG